AAGCCACCATACACTTCACAAGCCACCATACACTTCACAAGCCACCATACACTTCACAAGCCACCATACACTTCACAAGCCACCCATACACTTCACAAGCCACCATACACTTCACAAGCCACCATACACTTCACAAGCCACCATACACTTCACAAGCCACCATACACTTCACAAGCCACCATACACTTCACAAGCCACCATACACTTCACAAGCCACCATACACTTCACAAGCCACCATACACTTCACAAGCCACCATACACTTCACAAGCCACCATACACTTCACAAGCCACCATACACTTCACAAGCCACCATACACTTCACAAGCCACCATACACTTCACAAGCCACCATACACTTCACAAGCCACCATACACTTCACAAGCCACCATACACTTCACAAGCCACCATACACTTCACAAGCCACCATACACTTCACAAGCCACCATACACTTCACAAGCCACCATACACTTCACAAGCCACCATACACTTCACAAGCCACCATACACTTCACAAGCCACCATACACTTCACAAGCCACCATACACTTCACAAGCCACCATACACTTCACAAGCCACCATACACTTCACAAGCCACCATACACTTCACAAGCCACCATACACTTCACAAGCCACCATACACTTCACAAGCCACCATACACTTCACAAGCCACCATACACTTCACAAGCCACCATACACTTCACAAGCCACCATACACTTCACAAGCCACCATACACTTCACAAGCCACCATACACTTCACAAGCCACCATACACTTCACAAGCCACCATACACTTCACAAGCCACCATACACTTCACAAGGCCACCATATACACTTCACAAGCACCATACACTTCACAATGCCACCATACACTTCACAAGCCACCATACACTTCACAAGCCACCATACACTTCACAAGCCACCATACACTTCACAAGCACACCATACACTTCACAAGCCACCATACACTTCACAAGCCACATACACTTCAAGCCACCCATTAACTACTGCAAAGCCACATACACTTCACAAGCCACATACACTTCACAAGCCACCATACACTTCACAAGCCACCATACACTTCACAAGCCACCATACACTTCACAAGCCACCATACACTTCACAAAGCCACCATACACTTCACAAGCCACCATACACTTCACAAGCCACCATACACTTCACAAGCCACCATACACTTCACAAGCCTACATACATACACTTCACAAGCCACCATACACTTCACCAGCCACCATACACTTCACAAGCCACCATACACTTCACAAGCCACCATACACTTCACAAGCCACCATACACTTCACAAGCCACCATACACTTCACAAGCCACCATACACTTCACAAGCCACCATACACTTCACAAGCCACCATACACTTCACAAGCCACCATACACTTCACAAGCCACCATACACTTCACAAGCCACCATACACTTCACAAGCCACCATACACTTCACAAGCCACCATACACTTCACAAGCCACCATACACTTCACAAGCCACCATTACACTTCACAAGCCACCATTACACTTCACAAGCCACCATACACTTCACAAGCCACCATACACTTCACAAGCCACCATACACTTCACAAGCCACCATACACTTCACAAGCCACCATACACTTCACAAGCCACCATACACTTCACAAGCCACCATACACTTCACAAGCCACCATACACTTCACAAGCCACCATACACTTCACAAGCCACCATACACTTCACAAGCCACCATACACTTCACAAGCCACCATACACTTCACAAGCCACCATACACTTCACAAGCCACCATACACTTCACAAGCCACCATACACTTCACAAGCCACCATACACTTCACAAGCCACCATACACTTCACAAGCCAACCATTACCACTTCACAAGCCACCATACACTTCACAAGCCACCATACACCTTCACAAGCCACCATACACTTCACAAGCCACCATACACTTCACAAGCCACCATACACTTCACAAGCCACCATACACTTCACAAGCCACCCATACACTTCACAAGCCACATACACTTCACAAGCCACCATACACTTCACAAGCCACCATACACTTCACAAGCCACCATACACTTCACAAGCCACCATACACTTCACAAGCCACCATACACTTCACAAGCCACCATACACTTCACAAGCCACCATACACTTCACAAGCCACCATACACTTCACAAGCCACCATACACTTCACAAGCCACCATACACTTCACAAGCCACCATACACTTCACAAGCCACCATACACTTCACAAGCCACCATACACTTCACAAGCCACCATACACTTCACAAGCCACCCATACACTTCACAAGCCACCATACACTTCACAAGCCACCATACACTTCACAAGCCACCATACACTTCACAAGCCACCATACTTCACAAGCCACATACACTCACAAGCACATAACTTCACAAGCCACCATACACTTCACAAGCCACCATACACTTCACAAGCCACCATACACTTCACAAGCCACCATACACTTCACAAGCCACCATACACTTCACAAGCCACCATACACTTCACAAGCCACCATACACTTCACAAGCCACCATACACTTCACAAGCCACCATACACTTCACAAGCCACCATACACTTCACAAGCCACCATACACTTCACAAGCCACCATACACTTCACAAGCCACCATACACTTCACAAGCGCACCATACACTTCACAAGCCACCATAACACTTCACACAGCCACCATACACTTCACAAGCCACCATACACTTCACAAGCCACCATACACTTCACAGCCACCAACACTTCACAAGCCACCATACACTTTCACAAGCCACCATACACTTCACACCACATACACTTCACAAGCCACCATACACTGTCACAATGCCACCATACACTTCACAAGCCACCATACACTTCACAAGCCACCATACAACTTCACAAGCCACCATACACTTCACAAGCCACCATACACTTCACAAGCACCATACACTTCACAAGCCACCATACACTTCACAAGCCACCATACACTTCACAAGCCACCATACACTTCACAAGCAAGCCCACAACCATACACTTCACAAGCCACCATACACTTCACAAGCCACCATACACTTCACAAGCCACCATACACTTCACAAGCCACCATACACTTCACAAGCCACATACACTTCACAAGCCACCATACACTTCACAAGCCACCATACACTTCCCAAGCCACCAGACCTTCACAAGCCACCATACACTTCACAAGCCACCATACACTTCACAAGCCACCATACACTTCACAAGCCACCATACACTTCACAAGCCACCATACACTTCACAAGCCACCATACACTTCACAAGCCACCATACACTTCACAAGCCACCATACACTTCACAAGCCACCATACACTTCACAAGCCACCATACACTTCACAAGCCACCATACACTTCACAAGCCACCATACACTTCACAAGCCACCATACACTTCACAAGCCACCATACACTTCACAAGCCACCATACACTTCACAAGCCACCATACACTTCACAAGCCACCATACACTTCACAAGCCACCATACACTTCACAAGCCACCATACACTTCACAAGCCACCATACACTTCACAAGCCACCATACACTTCACAAGCCACCATACACTTCACAAGCCACCATACACTTCACAAGCCACCATACACTTCACAAGCCACCATACACTTCACAAGCCACCATACACTTCACAAGCCACCATACACTTCACAAGCCACCATACACTTCACAAGCCACCATACACTTCACAAGGCACCATACACTTCACAAGCCACCATACACTTCACAGCCACCATTACACTTCACAAGCCACCCATACACTTCACAAGCCACCATACACTTCACAAGCCACCATACACTTCACAAGCCACCATACACTTCACAAGCCACCATACACTTCACAAGCCACCATACACTTCACAAGCCACCATACACTTCACAAGCCTATCCATACACTTCACAAGCACCATACACTTCACAAGCCACCATACACTTCACAAGCCACCATACACTTCACAAGCCACCATACACTTCACAAGCCACCATACACTTCACAAGCCACCATACACTTCACAAGCCACCATACACTTCACAAGCCACCATACACTTCACAAGCCACCATACACTTCACAAGCCACCATACTACTTTCACAAGCCACCATACACTTCACAAGCCACCATACACTTCACAAGCCACCATACACTTCACAAGCCACCAACACTTCACAAGCCACCATACACTTCACAAGCCACCATACACTTCACAAGCCACCATACACTTCACAAGCCACCATACACTTCACAAGCCACCATACACTTCACAAGCCACCATACACTTCACAAGCCACCATACACTTCACAAGCCACCATACACTTCACAAGCCACCATAACAACTTCACAAGCCACCATACACTTCACAAGCCACCATACACTTCACAAGCCACCATACACTTCACAAGCCACCATACACTTCACAAGCCACCATACACTTCACAAGCCACCATACACTTCACAAGCCACCATACACTTCACAAGCCACCATACACTTCACAAGCCACCATACACTTCAACAAGCCACCATACACTTCACAAGCCACCATACACTTCACAAGCACCATACACTTCACAAGCCACCATACACTTCACAAGCCACCATACACTTCACAAGCCACCTACACTCACAAGCCACCATACACTTCACAAGCCACCATACACTTCACAAGCCACCATACACTTCACAAGCCACCATACACTTCACAAGCCACCATACACTTCACAAGCCACCATACACTTCACAAGCCACCATACACTTCACAAGCCACCATACACTTCACAAGCCACCATACACTTCACAAGCCACCATACACTTCACAAGCCACCATTACACCATTCACAATGACCACCATGACACTTCACAAGCCACCATACACTTCACAAGCACCATACACTTCACAAGAGCACCATACAAACTTCCACAAACGCCACCATACACTTCACAAGCCACCATAACACTTCACAAGCCACCATACACTTCACAAGCCACCATACCAACTCACAAGCCCACCATACACTTCACAAGCCACCATACACCTTCACAAGCCATCCATACACTTTCACAAGCCACCATACACTTCACAACCACCATACACTTCACAAGCCACCATACACTTCACAAGCCACCATACACTTCACAAGCCACCATACACTTCACAAGCCACCTACACTTCACAAGCCACCATACACTTCACAAGCCACCATACACTTCACAAGCCACCATACACTTCACAAGCCACCATACACTTCACAAGCCACCATACACTTCACAAGCCACCATACACTTCACAAGCCACCATACACTTCACAAGCCACCATACACTACAAGACACCATACACTTCACAAGCCACCATACACTTCACAAGCCACCATACACTTCACAAGCCACCATACACTTCACAAGCCACCATACCCTTCACAAGCCACCATACCCTTCACAAGCCACCATACCCTTCACAAGCCACCATACCCTTCACAAGCCACCATACCCTTCACAAGCCACCATACCCTTCACAAGCCACCATACCCTTCACAAGCCACCATACCCTTCACAAGCCACCATACCCTTCACAAGCCACCATACCCTTCACAAGCCACCATACCCTTCACAAGCCACCATACCCTTCGCAAGCCACCATACCCTTCACAAGCCACCATACCCATATGACTCACTCGTAAGATCCTGTCTCGGCCTAATTGCCGGTGTGCCACTGTGTAACCCGGCTCTGCACACACGTCCTGAAGCAGAGGCGAGTGAAAGATGCGGGCGGGAGGCACAGTAGATGATTTGGAGAGGAAGTTTGAATCAACCTTGAAAGATGTAGTCTGACTTGGCACACACGACCTGCAGGGGAGGCGAGTGAAAGAGTGGGTGATACAGAGAGTATGGGTGAGGGAGAGAGAGAGTGAGAGCGAGTGCAGGGGAAAAGGCGTCACAGTCGAACAGAGAAGCAATGGAGCATGGCGTGGTATATATATGGGACGTGACAAATGGTATGTGGCATGCATGCGGGCAGCAACGCAAGCGCCGCAAGTTATCAGGGCAGGAAGTGCTGAATAGTCGTTTCAGCAGCACGGCAATGGTGAGTGCGTGCAGTGCATGCGTGCAGACAACATTTGAGGCGTCGCAAAAGTCAGCACGGCAAAGGTGCATGCGTGCGTGTGTGCGTGCGTGCGTGCGTGCGTGCGTGCGTGTGTGTGTGTGTGTGTGTGTGCGTGCGTGCGTGTGTGGCATACATACAATAGCGCCAATCTTGGGCTGTCTGTTGTTGTTGGCATCCTCTTCTATCCGCACCTCCAGGTATGCCTGCCTGCTCTCATCAAACAGCCGCTCCCCTGCTCCTGGCTGTCATATCAGCTCAACCCATGCACATACGCGCACATGCATGCATACAGAGTGGGAGGAAGTTAGTCAATCCCGTTCTGCTCTGCTCACGCCCTGTTGCAGACATAGAACAGCGCGGAACGTGGGTGGGTGAAAGCGCAATTGCTCAGGATGGGGACAATGACAATGACAATGGTTAATGGCAAGCGAGATCATGGCAACCAACAGCAAAGAAAACTCGGATTATCCACAGGCAGTGAGATCATGCCCCGTGCATGCATGCACGCCTCTCCTCTCCCCATGCGCCCACTGAGCAGCACACAGCAGGTAGCAAGAGAGTACCTCGCTCATGCGGCGGTGGGGATGGCTGGGCATGCGTCGCAGGAACTGCTCCGCCACAGGCACAGGCACAAGCGCTAGGGCTTCCACTTCCTCCCTTGATAGCATGTCGATGAAGTCACTGCTCTCACATGGGACGGACGCACGGCACGGGAGGCATGGGAGACGAGACGACCTTTGATTTGAGGCGCCTCAAAAGTAAGTTACTGTGCACTCACATGGGAGCGAGGGACGGGAGGCATGGGCGGGATAGGTGGGTGGGGGCCATGGGGGGAATGGTCCTCAGATGCTATTCATATACGCCTCTCGGAGATTTCCCAAAAGTGATAGAGATGTGTCACCCACCAGGCAATGATCAGTCAAGTCCACGAGGAAGGAACCCCAGCAGCTGATCTAGTTCAGTCACACGCATTGTGATGCAGAAACCGGATTAAACGAAAAAAAAAAAAAAACTCACAAAACAAAAGAAGCTATACAAGTGAACACGACTGACTGCACCACCCACCCACCAGCCAATGATCATGTCCACCAGGTAGCGGCGCATGGGAGGCATGCACCCCAGCAGCTGCAGCAGCAGCAGCAGCAGCAGCAGCAGAGCACAGATATGCTTTTCAAAGGTGCTACAAGCATACACGACTGCGCCACCCACCAGCCAATGATCATGTCCACCAGGTAGCGGCGCATGGGAGGCATGCACCCCAGCAGCTGCTCCTGCGGCGAGGTGAGCTTAGGCAGCGACGAGGTCTTGCGCATGATGCCCCCTGCGCGCTCCAGCACCGCATCCTGCCTATTCTTCCGCTCGTTCCGCGTGGGACCTTGCAAGTGTTTCAAACGGCTCTGCAAAAGAGAGGGAGGGAAGGGATAGGAAAGCAGGATAGTGCTTGGGATGAGGGCACCGAGGACGTCTTGCGCATGCTCCTTGTTCGCTTCAGCACCTCTTTCCGCCTCCTCTGCCGCTCGTGCCGCGTGTGGGGCGTTGCTTGAGCATTGGACGGATTTGGAGAAGCAAGGGGCGGAAAAGCAGGGAAGGGATCAAGGGATCAAGGGAACAAGGGAAGAGTGTGGGAAACGAGCCGGACGAAGGGGGAAAAGAACAGGGATTAATGAGGAAGCGGGATGGTCAAGATGCGTGAGAGAGAGAGAGAGTACTTGTTAGAAGAGAATTGAACGAGGCTGGCAGCACCAAAGCGAAGTGAACAGGAGGAAGCATGCAGCGAAGTGCGGCACTGAGCCTTGAGGATCGATTGAGGCTTCACAACACATGAACTAGATGAATCACTTGGGTAAGACGCACTTCAGGAGTGAGCAGATAAATTGCAGCTGCTAGTCTCTCGTCCATTCTCTGCTGCTGCTGCATGGGCTGCGACAGCTGCTGAGGCTGTTGCTGTTGCTGCTGCTGCTGTTGCTGCTGCTGCTGCTGCTGCTGTGCTTCTGGGGTTGGACCGAGTGTTACAGCATCAGCTTGCTGCTGCCGCAGCGGCAGCAGTGGTGGTCGATGCGTCTGCTGCTGCTGTGCCTGCTGCTGCTGTGCCTGCTGCTGCTGTGCCTGCTGCTGCGTCTGCTGCTGCTGCGCCTGCTGCTGTGCCTGCTGCTGCGCCTGCTGGTTCTGCTGCAGCTGCTGTTGCTGCCGTTGCTGCTGCTCACGCAGTGGTGCAACGGAGGAGGAGACGCCAGGTGCACGGGTGGGAGAAGCAGGGGGGGAACTGCAACCTAACACAGGGGGAGGCGCCGTTGCCCAGGCTGCTGTGCCTACTCCTCTCTCTCCACCTTGCACCGCACGCCACTGCGCCGAACCACTCTCATTCACAACCTGCCCCACTCCCCTGCCTTCTCCTGGCGCTTGTCTCTCTCCCAACCCCTCTCGCCCCTTGCTCCCAGCACCCACTTCCCCTCGACCCCCAACGCCTGCAGCACCGCCTCCCCCCGCGCCCGCGCCAGCCTGCTTCCGCCGCCGCTGCCCCTCCCCCTCCCCTTCCGCCTCCCCCTTCCCCCCGAACAGCTGCCTCGACGTTTCTTGCCGCTCCCCTCCGATCTTGAAACCACTGCGCGCACCCTCCCGACCCCCCCCCTGCGCGGATAGCACCCTCTCCCCCGGCGATTCCCCCTCCCGCTTAGCGCTTGTCCCCACGAACTGCCGCTTGGACCTATGCTGGTAACTGTCTAAGGACCCCGACGGGGATTCGGGCGGAGTTCCGAACGCCTCTGTTCCGCCTGAGCCAATTCCGGAGCTGCGCTCGCTGCTGCCCCTGCCCCTGCTGCTCTCGCCGCTGAGGCCGCTGTTGCCGACGCCGCCGCCGCCGCCGCTGCTGCTGCTCCGCGTAGGGGAGCTCCCCACGTGCGCGCTGCCGTCGCTGCGCTGCCGCGTCTCCCGCTGCCGCTGCTGATTCCGCACCTCCCGCTGCTCCCGCTGCTCCTGCTCCTGCGCTCGTGCCGAGCAAGGCGCTACTTTACCCCCCCATACCCTGCTCATACCCGCTCCGCTCGCGGTGGGCGGAACTCCCGCTCCCCCTACTCCTCCCCCGACGCCCGCTCCCGACACCATCGGCGGCTCCGACGCTCCTCCGCCGTGGCGCGGCGCAGCATCGGCGCTGCAATCGGCGCGGGAGCGGCGGCGGCGGGCGGGACTCGAGACGGCGGCGGCGTCCGCACCACCACGGCTGCGCGACTCGTCCGCATGCGGATGCGGGAGCGAAAACGGCCTCGTCTTCGCGAAAAGATCTAGATCGCTTTGCCGAAGGCTCCTAGAAGGCGATTCCGGCGCTATGGGAGGAGTAGAGCCGTGTCCCGAACCCTCATCGCCGGCACCGCCATTGCCATAGTCGTCTGGACCGGTTTCCCTCTCTCCGTTGAATGACGCATTTCGTCGCGACGGCACGGGCGATAAGGCGTTGCAGAGAGTGGATGACGTGGCGGTCCAGAACCGCTGGAGAAGCGAAAGCGGCGCGGACGCCACGGTGGCGTGGTTACCGTTGACCGCGATGCGGAAAGCGTCAACCCGGAAGGCGTGAAGCGGCGATCGCGGGAGGTAGTATCGCGATATAAGAAGAGACGACTGAGTGGGCGATAAACATATCCGAGGGCCGTAGCCGCCGCTGCCGCCGCCGCGGCCGCCGCGAGACCCGAGAACCGCCGCAGCTACGGAGCGAGTGGCCGAGCCGATTCGCTGCGCGGGTGGAAACGCTCTAGGTGCTTGCATGTGAGTGCAACGATAACGTACGCTTTATTACATTAGGATCATCCGGCTATTGCATGGTCACAAACAGGTGAAGGGGCGAAGGCAGTTGGGGGTTCGGTTGGGGAAGGGGGTTAGTCTGTTTTCTGATTCCGAGTGGCGGGAAGGAGAAAAAGGCGGGATGGTGTCAGGATGACGAATCATTCATTCCACATAACATCAACATCTATACATCTAATCTATTGGAAATACGCCTCAAGTGACGGCAAAACAGGAACACCAGATTCGAAGTAAACCTTTTGCAATAACGACCCTTCATCCGTTATTCCACCTGCGCGCTGAAAGCAGGGGCATGAATCTCTTGTCAGAATCCCAACCACTAGACCATTGGGATAAAAGAGCTTGTTAAGTAGCGGGTCAGTGCGCCCATAACCTTCTAGGACAACGAGCATGTAACCCTTCCCTACGATCAATCGGGGATCACCAGTGGACCTCTCACATCTCTCACACTCATAACAGGCAGCAGATTTTGCAGGTCCAACAAGCTTTCTGTCAATAATATTTCACAGGCATGCACCAGATGCATACATGCATTCATGCACCACGGGCCTATGCGTGCATGAACCCAGCCCAAGCATGCAACATGCATGACCATCCACGCACAGCCCTTGCCAACTGCCCCTCTGTTCTCCCTGCTAACCCCAACCACTAGGTTTGACATCACTCCAACAGCTTCTAGGGCTCACTGCATCTCAGGCCTGCCAATGCCCCTACAGCATGGCAAAAAGGGACTTACTCATTACTCTCGTTCGCATGCATGCAGCCATGGCATGCCTAAACTCGAGCCATGACCCCATCATCATGTGACCTCAGCAATCCCCCCTTTGAAACCTCTGCCTGAGTTTCACCCATGGCACAAGGTGGGAAGCAGGCATGAAGCGGGCATAGTCAGTTGGCCCTGCATCATCTGCTGCTGCCTGACCTACCATGCGGGACTCAGGACCCACCCACCCACCCACCCACCCACCCACCCACCCACCCACCCACCCACCCACCCACCCAAGGGGCTTCAATCCCCTTTTCTACCACTCAAACGCCATAGGACTTCCCTTCAAGTCCTATGGCGTTTGGGGGATTCAGACCTCCCTCATTCACCTGTCACTCAACTTAACCTCGTCCCTTACACAACCAGCACACAACTGCCCACATACCCACTCACCCACCTGCCCACCCACACAGGCACCTACTCACCCGCCCATGGTCCCATCCACCCAACACCAATCTCCGACCACCCACCTTCCAGCCATCCATCACACAACCAGCCACCACTCCCCCAGCCACCCATTCACATACCCAGCCACTCACACACGTCGAACCCACTCACCATTTCCCAACAACCCAGCACCCACCCACCCATACCCTCCACCCATAAACCCTAAACCCAGAACCACCCATTCAACCAACATCTACACCTTCCCACCCACCCACCTACCCAGAACCACCCATTCAACCCACATATCTACACCTTCCAACACAACCACCTACCCAGAACCACCCATTCAATCCCCCCACACACACACCCTCCCACCCGCCTGCCCACCCACCTAACCATGACCACCTAATAAGAATCAACCACCGAACCCACAGTCACCCAACCACTGCCCAAACCCCAGTCACCTATCCTCACACCTACCCACCTACCCCCACCCACCCACACCCACCACTTTACCTCTCCCCTCCCCACCATTCACCTGCCAGCAGCAGCACCCACCCAAGGGGATTCAGGCCCCATCCTGCCACCCACCCACTCCCCACCATTACCTGCCAGCAGTAGGAGCAGCAGATAGCCCACTTCCTCAAGGAAACAACACCCCCAGTGGCTTTACCTTGTAGGGCAAGGCGTGGTAGTGGAAAATTGCTTCCAGCCCAAGACTCAAATCCCACCCCTGACGTAGCCAGAGCTGACGCGAACCAGAGCCGCCGGCCGGTCGGATCTGACGGTGTCCATTAGGCCTTGAACGCCAGATCGGTTACTTGAGCACCGAGTGCCGTGCCGCGCAGATTCCACCCACCACACCCCACCCACAAGACACAACCCCAGGAGATGCTGCCCCTAAGGCAGTGAACTCCCCGCTTGCTCCCATGCTCCCCACCCACCCACCCCACACTTCACCCCCATGCCTCCTCACCTGTACCTACCTCAGCCGTGCCGAGCGCCATGATGCTGAGGCTGCTGGGAAGTGGAGAGAGAAGGGGGATTAAGGGAGAACGAGACTCCACTATGGTCCAGGCCGGGTGCTGCTGGGACGGAAGGAAAAAGGGAGATAAGAGGAGGTGAGTGAGAGGGTGGACTCCACTCTCCCGCCCTTGCTCCAGTGCTCCCACCTTCAGCCTGCAGGAGAGGAGGGGGAAGAGAAAGAGGAGGGGATCAGCTTACCATACCTCACCTGTTACCATACTTCACCTGTTACCATACCACACCTGGCACCATACCTCACTCGCAGCTACATCTAGCCTAGCCTAGCCCCCCTTCCCCCACTGCTGCTACTGCTACTTCCGCTTCTGCTGCTGAAACTCCTGC